AAAAGGAACAAAGTCTAAGCGGTAGAAGTTATAGCACTATTTCGGAGATCACCACATCTCCTCATCAGACTTCTTTTTTCTAGACTTCAGCAGGGATCGAACCTGCGAATTCGATGTTCAAAGTCAGAAGCGTTAACCACTGAGCTATGTACATCCCGTAAAAAAATATTAAAAATAAAATGTTAAGAAGCCACAATAACATTGACAAATAAATAAATTTTGCCAATTTCTCTTGTTTATTTAATATTTATTATTTTTTATGAAAGTGTAGCTAATTATCTAACAAAAACCATATAAATTCACAATTCTAACCTTGAGTATGCAGTTTTATAGCGCACTATATTTTCGTAGAATAAAGTGTAAGTTTTAGGTTGCTAAAAAATCGCGTTAATATTAGGCAATTTTTTGACGCATTTCTCCCAAACAAAGTAGGTTCGACAATTAAGAAAAATTTTAATAGATTCAGATGTAATAGATTCAGAAAAAAATTATTAGAAATGAACGCGATTTTTCAGGAACTTCAAACTTGCACTTCATTACACTAAAATTTAATGAGCAAAAATTAAAATTGAGATGCAACTTTACAGAATTTTTATAATTTTGGCACAAAGTTTGAAATATGAATTTATATGATTTTTGTTAGATAAGAGCCTATACATTTATAAAAAATTATAAATATTTAATAATCAAAAGAAAAAGGTGCAACATTTGTTAGAATGTCATGTCCCTATTAATTTTTCCACTACTGTATGTATGATAGATGGACACATTCGAGTACCAGTAACAATAAAGTTTTACTGATAATGAAATTAAATTGTCATTGCCAGTAAAATTTTTAGTGTAATCACTGAAAATATTGACTGATAGCTAAAAATCAATGCACAACCACCGAAAACAATTTCCTGTATTGCAAATGAAATTTAATTTTCAGTAAAAACTGACTGATTACTGCTATGCCCAATGCAATATGCTTATTTAGAGTTATAAAGGTTATAAATAAAAAATCGATGCGCTCATTTTAGCTTGCCATTTATTTATCGCATATTAGACAATGAAAAACTCATCAAAAGACTTATGAAACTTTAACAATAGCGTTACCATTCGTTTATGTACATATGCAGACATATCGTACACATTCTCCAAAAGTGTATCAACTCGAAAATCCCAGTTTAACAGAAAACTCAAAAACCCTTTTCCTGAGCAAAAAATTTCAAGAGTATTACTTCAGTTTTTGCTGAAAGTAAATACATATATATATGTGTTGAAATTTTCAGTTCATAATATCAATAATTACCAATTTCGAATCAACATACTTTTAAAAAAACGTGTGCGATATTTCTTATGCAACCTAACTGCATAAAGTTGTAGGTTTGAAATTAAGCATTTTAATTGTATATGTTTGTAAATACATATATGCATTAATATCGTTCATCATACATCTTTATCAATACAAAACATTACAAAGTACTATACAATTTCTGCTGTTAAACGCATTCGCTTATTTACATACTACATACCTAATACATATTTTAATGGATTATGATACATAGTATAGTATATGCTGTTAAAAAAAATCAGTTTAGATTTATTGTCGCATTGTGCTTACTACAGTTACATATGTATGTATGTACGAGGATTGCTATTTGAGTGTTTAGATACGTCAAAACTAATGTGAATGTACCAAATTTGAAACCGTCATCGTAAAGTTTGACATTTATAATGGTACACGTATACAGATACTTGTAAGCATTCATTTCAAAACATGTGATTTGAACGCATCGATCGCTTCTAAAGTCAAGGAAAAACAGTGACCTCGCAAGCTCTTTTCAATCTGATAACAACACAAATAGCTCTCGTATGACAAAACGCTCTCAGTACTTTAACCATTAAAAATGCCCAACTTTGCAATGACAATGTCAGATTTGACATATTCACATAGTGTTGGCATTTCTAAACACTTAAGTGGCGACCCTCGCATATGTAAATTAAATTAA